CCCTAAGCTCGAGGTTCAACGCATTTAAGCACTGAAGGCATCTCTCTCTTTGAATTGAGAACTCTTTTTATGAGTTAAGATTTAAAGTTTTTTTGGCAGTTGCATCAGTACATTTAGTCTTTCTTCATTTCTTAGATATTCATAAATGACATCAAAGCTCAGTCAGAACTAAGATGTATTCAGATGTGAGGCAATTTCAATCCTATTGATCATCTTGTGGTAACTTTCTTAAAAGATGAATGTGATGCCATGATCACTCACTCTGATTTGCCCGGCTCCACAGATAACGTGGCTTTGAAAAGATTTAACCAGGATTCATTATTATAATATTGTCATGGTTGGTGGTTAATGCATTCTGTTCGCTTTTAAAGGAGAACGGAATGCGTAATTAATAGATTTGGAATATATTTGCATATGTTTAAAGACACTGGACAAAGGTACACTACCATTTTAATGTTTGGTATCACTTTAAATTTAATACATTTATTTAGCAGAGATTAATAAAATTGACAAAGTGACAGTAAAGACTTTGAAATACATTGTCTTTATGTCAAAAAAAGACAATGTATACAAAAATACATTTATACAAAAATACATTTGTAACCATGTCAAAAAATGCTGTTCTTTTTTTTACTTAATCAGTGAATCTTGAGACAAAATGTATCATGATTTCCACAAAAATATCAACTGTATTCAACATTGATAATGAGAAGTTAAGATAATAAGAAATGCTTCTTGAGCAGCAAATCAGATTGATTTCTGTACGGAAGGATCATGCGACACTGAAGACTAGAGTAATGATGCTGAAAATTCATCTTTGCCATCACAGGAATAAATTACACTTTAAAATATATTAAATTAGTTAAATTATTTTAAATTGTAATAATATTTCACAATATTACTGTTTTATTGCAGGGCATGATGGAGAGAGGGTGAATGGTTTAAGTTAGAATCAGAGTTATCTTAATGCACCAACGGCATTAAGCATAATTAATCATGTTTTAACATTTTGTTTGGACAGTTCTAATTAAAACGCTCTCTTTCAGCCTCCGAGAAAGACAGAGAAAATCTTCTGAAGTGTGCTAGGCTGGTGGAGAGGATGTACACTCATATTGCCAATGCTGCTGAAAATTTCACAGTCCTGTCCTCATTCATGGTCGCACAATACGTCAGTCAACTGCAGAGGGTGAGACACTAGTCTTGATCTTGTTTCTGCTCTCATGAACCGCTTGCCTGAAGTAAAAATTTGCTAGAATGTTTGAGAAGAATCTTCTCAGTGTTATAAATCACATGCGTTTGACCTTCCAACTGCCCTAGACTCATGTTGCTGCACTGAACAATCGCATTAGCGCACATTGCAGATAATTGGTGTCTTTGTAAACCCTCACTAAGTTTCGGTCTTATTTCCTAGGTGACGCTTCAGCCAGAAATCAAGTCACATCTAACAGAGGGAGTATACTGTATCCTGGACCATTGTGTTGAACAAGACATCAAGTTTTTGAACACCACCCTTCAAATGGGTGTCAAGGAAGTGTTCAATGAACTGTACAATAGTTATACACTCTATCACAAAACTCAAAGGCAAGGGGAAGAAAAGTACACCGTCTGACAATTGCATCCTCTGCCTTGAGTGAATAAATCTATATTTTTTACATATAATTGTTATAGATGAGTATATCTCTAGAAATGTTTTACATTTTCATTATTTATTTACCCTCATGTTGTTCCAAACCTGTATGACTTCTGTGAAACACAAAAGATATCTTGATTTATAAGTCAGTTCACTCCCACATTCTTCAAAATACCTTTTTCTTGTGTGTGTTCTGCAGAAGTCAGTCAGTCATACAGGTTTAAAACGACATGAAGGTTAATAAATTATGACAGAATTGTAATTTTTGGATGAACTATCCCTTTAAATGAGGGAAAACGGTCTGAAATAATTGTTAACACTTTGTATTTTAATACTTCCTCAGTTTTTGTACATGACAAATGACCTTTTTTTTTAACGAGAACAGTACTTTTTTTCTGTGTTGTACTGGTGTTCTCAGCAAACCCTGTTATATGCTTGAAGTTAAAGACCTAAAAGTGTTAAGATGTTTTGCGCTTATCTGAATTGACAACCTGAAGTCCTGAAACAAATGTCTGACTCATCAGCCAGATTTGGTGAAATTCTCTCTCAAGGTTGTTCTTCTGAACAAACCAATTAACCTGAGGTTGCTGCAGATGGACTCTATGAAATTAGTGTAATGTAAAAGTGTCCTGGATGACAAATAACCAATTAAAAATGTAACCCATTAGACATATGCTGTTAAATGATGTTTAACATTAGAGCAGTCACACTAACTGCTCTGGTGTGCCTTAACTTAGCCGTTCTCCAATGTACAACAATGTTTTGCTGATGTTCCCTACAAAGAGAATCTAGATGCAATACAGGAGATACCTCAGATGCAGACTGAATAAACATACAGCTATACAAACATAATGCCATTACAATACAACAAAATGTTCAACATGGACTGTACAATTGCAACTAGAAAGTTGTGTACTTTACAATGGCAGCAAGTAAGATTCTCAAGAGTTCGTTTTAGAGCATCATGATGAAATTACTTGGTGGCTAAAGGTATTTTCAAGACATAAACGGTTGTTACACATAAGAAACTTGAGGTTCTTAAAGGAAATCCTGCAGGTTTGTGCTTCAATGTTGCTCACAGCCATGTCAGTCACACTATCCTGCATGAAGTAAAGGGTCCAAGAATAAGTTCTTGACTATGTCTGGCTTTCCAAATGGCATTTGGTCCTGTGCAACATGTAGGTGTGTGTCTAGTGGGCAAACTGATGGTGGAACCCTTTCCCAATTGATCAGTAGTAGTACTTCAGGTTTGTGTTTGATAAAAAAAAAAGTCTTCAAGTGTTGTACCACCCTCCAGAGGCATTCCTGTATTAATTAAACTTCCCAAGCTTTAATCTCCCTTTATCAGCAGAGTCAGGAAATAGCAGGTACCCTAGAATTGGTGTCTGTAGGGGGTCTTGCAGGAAAGCGGAGAGCTAGAACGGGGCAGAAACCATCATAGACGGCACCCAGGAGCTGCCAAGGATGATCAGACAAGATGGCCGAGAGCCAAGACTGTTGCAAAACAGATTTGGCTCATTAGCCCCAGTGAATGCTCAAATGTAGGGGCTTAGATACAACACACCACAGAATGTAGGGAAAAGATATTTGCCCACATTATAATTACTGATATAAGATGGAAACGGTCCTGTTCACACTCATGTGGAGTTCCGTCTGAATTTTTTGGATGGCAATTAGAAAGGCACATTTATCAAACGTTATACCAACATGTCAGTGTGTGTTTAATATAGAGCTTGAATGTTATTTCTACCATATTTCATGCATGACTGCGTTTATTGTCATAATAGTCAGCTGGCTTCATGTTCGAGTCTGAATCGCTCAGGGAGAGGTGCTCAGTGTTGGCAGGTTTAAAAATGTGCACCGATTTAAATATGACAAGTTGTCTTTTGGATTCAAAATCATTTCCAAATGTATTTTTTTTTTAAATCTGAGATTAAAAGTGGTCATTTAAAAAGTACAGCTGCCAGTTTTGTGAATGTGGTGTTATTTCATAAGAAACATGTTGACCTATTATGGCCACTAGGAGACGTGTTTTCTATGAACACCCTGGAAGTTTTTACAATTCACTCCAGGCTATATCTCAGAACAGAAAATATCTTATTGTAGGTTTTTGATCTCATCATCCTGACAGTTGTTGACTAAAAACCTGTCACCAAACTTTCTTCCTGAATGGCCTAGTGCACTGGGTTTTTACACTCAAGAATTTTCATGTGACATGAGAGAATAAAATACATTTTTGTAGCCATCAATAAAGGCCAGAATTACAAGTTCCTCCGTAAATACCCCAATTTAAGCACAGTGTCACCTTTCATTCTTCTAGGAAGTTCTTACAACTGATTTGGAGTGACTGAAAAGAGGTGGCAGGCTGGGGGAGCAGTAAAGCATTATAAACCAATTACAATATATGGATAACATAGGAAATGACGCATTCTCCAATGTAGGCAACATGACAAATGTTCCCTCTGTGAGGTTTCAAATGCCAAGATATATATGCATGATATATATGCAATATAAGCTATTGCTTTCCCATGACTCCAAAATGGAAACATATAGAGACAGATTATGGCAGTCAGAAACAATGTTATTTTATTATCCTATTGTTTTTTTTGTTTTTGTTTTTGGTTTTTTAATATTTTTAATTCATTTTGATTTTTTTTTTTAATTTTGAGTTTAATTTTAATTAAAGGCAATTTTTGGTATTTTTTTATTAATTTAAGCTTTAGTTATTTTAGTATTTTATGTTGTTTTATTTTTATTTCTGTAAACATTTTTTTTGGTGAACTTAAATAACAGTCAAAGAAGAGAGAAAGATCTCAAATTTACAGTGTTTGGTAATGTCATTTACATTTTTCTTATTTAATGGAAGGGTAAAGTATAGCGATACGTGTTTTTTGTTGTTGTTTTTTATCAGTCCTTCTTTACATTTTGTATGTACAGTAAATGCCTGGACCTGGAATTCTTGGTTACAGCCCTGTTCCCTTATTCTTTCCACACATGAAACTATTCACATTTTAATTGGATGTGTTTTTGGTAATTAATTAGCCTACTTACAAAGTTAAAAATCCAAGAACATTTGCTCAAATTAATAAAATAGTAATAAGTAAGCTGGCCGATAGATATAGCCTAGCCAGTGTGCACAATATAAGCCAGTACACAATTAGGTTACATATGTGTGCATTATTTATCAATGACTTCAGTAAAAAAGAACGTAACACTACAATAATTTGTTTTTGTCAGACCTGCAGGATGAACCAAACAATAATTACGGGGTGCATCTTGAGGTACAGGCTAACGATGGATGTCCCCACCCCCAGCCCTCTCCGTCCGCGTCTCTGTGGAGCGTGATTGGATTAAAGTCGGTTACCCTTTCCCCTCTAACCCGGTGATGCTGGCTGTTTCCTGCTTCTTCTTCTGTCCAACCGCCGCTGCTGGTGAATTCGTGTTAGTTGAGCGCTGTAGCCACAGCGAGACGCAGAACGTGGACGTCAGTGGCTTTTCACGGCACAAACCCCGAGTCAGCCACTGTATTATCCCATCCAAAATCACAGCAATGCGCAGGAAATCTAGGATATTATTATGTTTTGCTGTGCTTTGGGTTCTTGGCATAGCATATTATTTCTATTCGGGGACAACGCTGAGTCGAAAGGTAGGTTTTTCCTTTGGCTGCTTTCTTCGTGTTTCATGCTGCTAGATCGGCGCAAATATAAGTTGTTTGGGGTGATTGTTTGTAAATATTTCGTTTGCGGATGAAAGAGGAAAAAAACATTCACTACGGCGATAGAGAAGACGAGAGAAGCCGACACGTTTAAATACCCAAGTCTATTGAGGGGACTCACAAAGATAGTGTTATCGCTATACGTGCTGTGATTTAACTGCGAGACTATCAAATAACCCCTTTGGTTAAACTGAGTTAAAAGCTTATGTTATGCTTCTTTTTAAAGGCGTATTTTGTCCGGAGTAACGTTAGATTTAAATGCTTTGTTACGCCGATTTTCTTTAGGGGCGAGAGGGACGTTGATTGGCTAACGTTATACAAATATGAGTAAAACGTTAACTTGTATGTAACATAAATGATATAAATGTTGCTTTACAAAATGTTACTACACAAACTGCTGATGATATAGCCTACGGTATGCTATAAGCTAGCTGTTTGTATAGTATTTGTAATGTTTCAAGGTAAGTTAGTGTTAAAGCCAAGCTACAATGAATACACGAGTTAGTTCCGGTTATCACATTTGAGAGCTAATATTTAGTCTGGAACTTTTTTTTGTATTATTATTACTGGGCATGGCGATTATTCTTCTAAGTGATTCGAGTACGTTCAGTGAAAGATTCGTTCAGTGACGTTTTCTGCTGGTTACTCCAGTAGGTGGCGTCACAATGGAGTATATGTTTTGTGTGTTGTAAGTCGTTGAATCTTTTGCTATCAAAATAAGAAACTCTGAAGTGGAGTGGAGTGATATTCAGTACAACAGCAGCTGTTGGCGCTATTGTGATATTTGTTTTTGGACATTTTCCTACTAACAAATATTTGTCCTGTGTCAATCTTATTTTTAATGCAAGGCAGCTGTTCTTTTAGCTGTACTAAAACAGGCCTACTTAATTTGCGATTAAATTGTGATTTCTTTTTTAAGCTAATAATTGTATCATTAACCGCAATTTTCTATCGTGGCTTCTAAATCAGAATGATCACATTAACAGGAAACAACCTGCTTCTGCATTGATAAATAAGGTGGATATACGAATCAGCACTGTCACACTATAAAGTGTGGAATCTTTCAGATTTCCAATTTTTTGCATTTTACATTAAGTTTTGATCCCTAAAAGCTGCATGTCTGGATTCTATTAATCATCACTTGACAGTGTGTGGATGTTGCACTTTTGAGTGAGGGTGGTACACCATGAAGCCATAATTTTTAGTAACATACCATCTGGTCTCAAAGGATGTTTGCTCAAATTCCTTCACTCAGGCAAATAATCAGCTTGTGTGCTTTATATTTGACCCACACTGTCTTAAGGTTTTGTTGTTTCGTGTTTTTGTTTCCATAATCGTCTATCAGCCGTACTAAGCCAACTTATTTTATAGTATGAGTACATTTGATATACTGAAAGCACATTTGTGAATTGCTCCCTTTTAGGATGTTACTGAATGTAATGCTATTGCTTGTAGTGTATCGATCACAGTTTGTTGTTCACAAGTCGTAATTGAAACATTGTGTTTTGTATGCATTGCTGAAATGGCAATATACTGGACTTCAACGACTTTGCTGCTTAACTACCACTTTCTCTACTGGTTTATTACAGTTTTATCAATAACATCGTAATGTATGAAGATGGCTGCTTGTGCATATGTTTTTTAAAGCATTATAAGGAAGTGGATGAGCAGCTGGTAGATCCTTCATCTGGTTCAGGGCACTTCACATTCAATCCCTCTCTTTGTTGAACAGGACATCGATGCTGTTGTTGTGCGCAGCTTGTGTTCATTCATATCCTTACAAAATGAATAAATTTTATTGAAGAGTTTAGATTGACATGACATTTGCCCTGTCCTTTTTGCATTTAATTCTGTGAGAACTGTTCTAGTTACGCAATAGATTATAAACAGATGTCAAAGATCGTGTCTCAGCGAGGAAATGAGTTCCTGCAACCAGCGAGTGGACAACAGCCTCGGGATGGCGGTGGGGTTTGTACGGATGCTCATCACGGATTCTAGTACCTCGGTTATGCAAAGGTCGGATTCTGAATGTTTTCTCTTTCGGCTTGGTTTTTGGAGCCGGGTCTGCTCTAGGATGCGGGCGGGATAGGGAAACGGGGCTTTTATCTCCACCGAGAAATGCGTTTGATCTGATATGTGCTCCACAGCACAATTATCGACATGCTGATTGTTCTGCCCTTGTTGGCAGGATTACAGTGGCGGTGCTGGGATGGGGCCGTACTGCTTTCACTCACTTGTTCAAATCAAAGCTTGTTAACATCAGGATGAACCAAAAGTGCATGACAGATTCGGTCAACTCTCACAAAGCTGTGTGCCTTCCTTTTTTTTTTTTTCTCCCTTTGATACCAGAGGAAAATATGTAATTTGGGTCTGATGACTGTCATTCAGATGAACTTGAATGTGAGGAATGAAAGCAAAGCAGTGGCCCTCCTTTTATGTGGCTAGAGAGAATGCCCGTTATCGTGTAGATGCTCGGCTAAAGGCACAGTGATGTGAATTTTGGGGACGGCCGATGTTAAATACTTGCGAGAGCTCCTTGATGTCCGAAATGAAGTCCTGAATGTTGATATATGAGATTACGTTTTACTCACCAGAGGGTGATTTGGGTTTAAATATTGATGGGCAATATCTGAAAGCTTCTTAGGCTTTATCTCTTCCATGAGATATGTCTGTGTACTGTAAAAACTCTGCAGCTTTAAAAGTATGATGCTTTTGTAGTTCTTTGCCATGGGATGTTTTTCTATACCTCTTATCTACCAACTGAGCTTCAAAAGACCTCAATATTTTACTTTTTTGTTGGCAACCGGATTTCATGAGATTGTTTTGTCAGCTTGTTGAATCAGCAGAATTCCAGAGAATAAATCAGTGGCTTCTGTTTTAAACCAAGCCACGAGCTAGTTACAGGCTAAACTGTGTAAGTGTTCCTCCTAATGTTTTCACCTTTGATATGAGCAGACGATCATATGAGACACATTGCTTTTTATGACCTGACCTTTGACAGGGACAGGGTTGTATATGTATCCTCCATGAAGGATTTAAAGACACTGAAAAGAGACTCTTCTGTAACTTTGGACATAATTGATAACTAAGTGACCTCAGTGGTCAAAGGTCTTGGAGTTGCAGAGTTTATGACCATGGAATTCCTCTGTCTCCGTCCACTCTGTTTCTACCAGATGGAGGCATTGGCTTTAGCTGAAATAGTGAGAGTGAATAGGCAAGGGTTTTTTTTTTTTTTTTTTGGATAAATGTCTGAAATGAGGTCTGTGTGGATAATAGAAGCTCAAGATATTTTCATGTTTTATTCCATGACATGTAATACCCCATTTGTCAGAATCTTAGTGGTGGTGATGTTAAAGTAATGTGACTGGTGTAGTTCATTTATAGCCTAACTTTTTGGTTTGTTTGTTTTGTTGTTGTTTTTTTACTTATAGCGTTTTGTCTTTTAGGCTTCAAAATTCATACATTTGTGAGGATTATTTTGATGAACAAAACGTGCATACATTTTTGTTGGTTTACAGAACTTATGTCTGCAATAATCCAAAAGCCAATGGAAAATCCTGTTTTTGTCAAGAGACTCTTGGTGCCAAATTTTATTTCATTATATTTTGAGCTGCTCATTTCCACAATATTGTTCTATTTTTACAATAATTTATTGCTGCCTTAAAGATCATTTTTATTTGAATGATATATATATATATATCAAATAAGTTATCAAATAAAAATGATCCTTAAGGCAGCAATAAATTATTGTAATAAATTATATATATATATATATATATATATATATTTAAATACGAAAATGAATGTCCATTTTCATACTGTACATTAAATCTTTTTTGTTTTATTTAGAATACTTTTTAAATACCAACTCCAAGATATTAAAGTCATTCCTTTTTAAAAATAAAATACAGTACTTTAAATAATCCATTAGAAGCCATGAAGTGCAGTGAATACTTTTGAAGTATTGTCTTGTCTAAAGATTCAACATTTTTATTGAGGTCTTTGGCATCGGAGATGGATTTTCTGTAATATTTGGTTAGATAAAGGTCTCTGTGGGGATTTGCAGAAAGCCTTTTCAATTCTCTCACAACTGCCTATTCTGTTAGGGAGTGAGATATGAAATAATGAATACATCCCTGCTTACCACTTCACATTGTCAGACAATTTCTCCTATAATCTCTGTTCTTCGAATCATTCTTTATGCATCCATGCTTGATTTTAGGCTTATAAACTAAAGGCTTGGTTCTTTTTTTCATTAAGCAGCTCTTTCCTGGTTGTTAGATGATAATTGAGTGAAGAGGAAGGAAATTTTGGGTTTCAGTTCAGTCTCACCCAAAGGCTTGTCGGCACACTGGCCGTGAGCCAAGAGGAAGTGATGTGTGAATTGCAAAATCCATAAGAAAATAGAATGAAATATGCTAAAAGAGAATTTTGCAAGTAATTTTGCAAGATGTAACATCTGTGGACACCTTAACGTCCAAAGGGTCTGCAAATATGACATGTGAAGGTGGAAAACGGCAAGCCTGTTTACCCAAAGGGAGGGACAATGTCAATGTATCTCCAGCTGAATATGTGATTAGAGAACATCGATTATCCTCTGCTGGGTAATCATCTTTCTGTGTTTTTCACATTTAGTTCAGTCATCAGTCTTTGCATGTCTCTGTGAAATATGTATTAGCAACTGCGATATGTATATGAGTGCAATGCAAATGAGAAGAAATGAGCTTTTGATGTTAAGGTTCATTCATTCTTCAACAGGGTTTAGTTACTGGATATTCCCCCAGTGGCAACTCCGTGACATCATTCTCTGATATTATCTTTTATGATTAACACCACCAGCCGCTTTATTGGTCCATCGAGACCTAGATAACAGTTCTTTTCACATTTAGTAGGGATGTTTGTAGTAAAGAGACTAAACAATAATTTACCTT